TTTGTAGGCCCAGTGGCAGTTTTTGTATGCCCATGTCATACCAGTTCACCTCCATGCTGTTCAGGAAACTTCGAACCTCAGCTTTCACCTCATCGTCGTTGTTGAAGCGCTTTCCAGACAAATGTTCTTTCAACTTTGGAAAGAGATGGTAGTCACTGGGCGCCAAGTCCGGACTATAGGGTGGATGGGTGATGATGTTCCATCCAAACTGTTGCAGTTGAGCGACGGTTTGTCGGGCAGCATGGGGGCGAGCGTTATCGTGGAGAATGCTTACGCCCTTGCTCAACATCCCTCTTCTCCGGTTCTGAATCGCCCGCCTGAGTTTTCTCAGTGTCTCACAATATCTCTCAGCGTTTATTGTGGTCCCAGTTTCCATAAAGTCAACCAACAATACCCCGTTTCGATCCCAAAACACACTTGCCATGACTTCACCGGCAGACTGTGTTTGCTTGAATTTTCGAGGCTTAGGCGAAGAGGAATGCCGCCACTGACGTGATTGTTGTTTTGTCTCAGGTGTGAAGTGGTACGCCCAGGTTTTGTCGCCTGTGACAATTGAATTCAAGAAGTTGTCCTTTTCGTCAGCATAGCGGCGAAGAAATTCACGGGAAGAGTCAACTCTCTGCCGTTTGTGGTCTTCCGTGAGCATTCGCGGGACCCATCTTGCGCACACCTTCCGATAATTCAACTTCTCTGTCAAAACCCGATAAATGGTGGTTCGGGAAACCTCGGGAACCGAAATGCAGAGATCATCGAGTGTGAGGCGCCTATCCTGACGCAGGACTCGCTCAATCTTCGCGACTGTCTCGTCAGAAATTGACGGTCTCCCAGTTCTTTTTTCGTCGTGTATTGCAGTACGACCAGATTCAAACTCCCTACACCACTTGCGGACGTTCTTTATGTCCATGCACGACTCGCCATACACTTCCACCAATTGACGATGAATTTCAATTGGTTTAGTCCCTTTTGCGTTCAAAAACCGAATAACTGCGCGAATCTCACACTTGGCGGTTTTAGTAATCGGGAGCTCCATTTCTAACGGCAACCGCGCCAAGACTGAGCGTCCTAGCTACGTGCGCGCATGCTTGGTGGTATTGGGGGGAGTGGGGGAAGCAACGAATGCAACAGGGTTGCTAACAGCCGCATGAAAAATTACCCAGCGCTTTGGAGACCTTACTTTTGGAATCAGCTACGTATTTTCGACCCTGAAGATGGAGGCGATATGTTCTTGTGAAACGTCTTTTATCTATCCCCAGACTAGACGGCGTTATATCCCAGAAGACAGCAACTCATTATTAACAGTCACCGCTGTAAAAACCTTAGATCCTACAACATTATTATAATTAACAATCAGCATACGTTTATAAAATATTTCATTCCATTACAAGACTGTACACTGGCATTGCATAAATGTAACGTTAACAGCACAAGATTTGCTGGATTTGAAATGTGAATAACAAAGCGAGCTTCATATGTTCTATCACGAAATTCGGAGGTAGGAGCAAAAGTAGCGCTACGTACTTTACGGTCCTGAAGTTATATACGACATTATTGTTATTCTTCTTATTATTATTACTATTACTATTTTGGCTCTATATCCTTTTGTTGGGCTTTTGCCGCTTTTTAAGTTTCTTATCTTATACACAATCGGCAGGACTCCTTGAACGAGCCGTTGCCTAGCAATGACACATGCGTCATAACAGCAGCACTAATAATAATAATAATAATAGATCTAGAAAACTGGATTAGAATAGGAAATTAGCTTTTAAGAGTTCTGCTCGGAGCTCGTTACCTTGCGTGGACTATTGAAAAAGATCTCTACTGCTTGGGTTAAAATACGTATCTATACATTCACAATGATTTCTGTCCCTGCATTAAGAACTTTAGAACAAAGGTTGAAAACTCTGTTACAATACGACTGCTTTTATACACCTTTGCAGCGCTGTTTAAATAGAACTTTATTGCACAAAACCATGGGGGCAGTGAACCTACGTGATTGTACACTGCCTTAGAGTCGCCCCTCACGCTTGAACTGAGCATATATGGGAGAACGCACAAACTCGCGATATTCGATTATGGAACAAAGACGTAGGACACAACTTTCAGCATCTTGTATGTACCTACCTTCCGCTCTGTACAGCCGTAATGCTGCCACACGGTTCTATTTGTCTGACAACATGCGACCAGCATAACCTTCCATCTAGTGGCAACCCTTAGTCCGGAATTACGTTGCATGCACCTCACTCCATGAACATTCTACGGTTTTTCTTTCATGAAGCGTTTCAGTTAATCACATTAATAATAATTATTGTTAATTGTTAATAGTTATTGTTATTCTATGTTATTATTACTTCCGAGGAAACACTGAAATAACGTATCACGGCAAATAATTTTAATTGTTAAAAGAATGTCGTCTTCTGGGATGTGGCGCCGTGTAGAGCTTGTGTAACCGACGTTTCGGAGGAACGTATCGCCTCCAACTTCAGGGTAGAAGAATCGGCGAGCGAGGAACCAGCGTGAGCAGGTGGCTGCAGTCTGCTCGCGGATTCTTCTACCCTGAAGATGGAGGCGATACGTTCCTCCGAAACGTCGGTTTACACAAGATCTACACGGCGCCATATCCCAGAAGACGGCATTCTTCATACTCACCGTCGTGAAAACCTCAAATCTTACAATTTTAATTGCTGTCTGTAACAGCATGCCTTTGACAGATATTTATCTGAATTGAGGGAGAACTGTATGGGGAGAAGAATGGAGAAACGACGGACAAATATAAGGGATTAGGAAGGAATGCGGGAAACAGGAGGAAAGAGAATAAATGTACGAAAAAGGTGACAGAAAGCATGAAAGGATGTGAGGGAATAAGATACAAACTAAATTACCCCCCCCCCCCCCCCCGGGACAA